TGTTTATTTTTTTTTTTGTCAGAGCAACATTTAATTTTGTACTGTGATATTGTGCTGGGGCCATGGCTGCAATGCACTGGCAGACACTGATAAGTGACTTACTGTTTCATATCACACATTTACTGAATTTTCAGTTTGAAATGTACAGTCTGGGATGACAGCCAGTCATTCAACCTATTCTTGCCTCAAAGAGTGTAAAAAAAGCCAGGCAGACAAAAGAAGGGACACCTGGCAAATGTCTTGGGTTTCAAACAACAAGAGAGAGAGGTAATGGTATCCATGGTTAGGAGTGAGATAACTTTCTTCTGTACAGCATGTGTTGAAAACATTTTCAAAACATTGAGCTGCCATTTAGCTATGGCCTAGCACAAAACAATGCAGAGATGGAAGCAAACAAACAGGAGAACTGGAGCAGAGAGAGCACAAAGCCCAGCCTGTGATGCTGGGCAGGAGCCCTGGTGCCACCCTGCCAATGTCCCCGAGGATGGGGCTGGGCACAGCAGCTCCTGTGGCACTGCCACGCTCCTGCTCTCCCTGTCACAGCGAGGGGAGCTGCCTTGGGAGATGGATTTGGCTGGGCCTGTGGTTTGTGAAACAGCCCTTACTCACTGTGGTGGGATGATGTGGTTTCCTTGGGAAAACAGAGCGGCAGTGGGATTTGAATAAAGAGCCAGCAGTGCTGCAGACAAGGTTTCTAATGCTGCCTGACAAGGGTTGTCTGTGGGCTTTTTAATGATTTTCTTTCAATTCATCAGCTACAGTTCTGGGGTTTTTTTGGTTTTTTTTTTTTTTGTTTTGTTTTGTTTTGGTTTTTTTTCCAGTATTTGCATTGTTTAAAGCATAAGGAAATAGCTGTGTCATTGTTCATTTCAGAAAAATAATACATGTTTGGTATTTTCCTTTTAGTTCTTTTGTGAAAAGGAAGGATGAGGAGGTGTAATGGCTCTTTAGCATTTAATAATGTCACAGAGGATAATTCGGCACAACTAAGATACAATCTCCGTTACTTTTTGAGGTAGTGTTGACAAAGAACTGGGATGCAGGGAAGCAATTGCTTTGCTGAGATTAAGGATGCTGCCTTTCCTGCTTTGTATTTCATTTGTGAGGTGGGAATCAACTTGTTCTCCTCAGATCATTTTGTTGCTTGGATTTAGTGCATGAGTTGAGTGTACCAAAGCCTGGGAAGAGCTATGAAAAGCTATTTGATCATGTTAAAGCAGATCTAAATTTTCTTTTGTATTTTAGTCAGCGTTTGGATTGTGATGTTTGGGAGTGTGTGCTCAGGAGCTCTCAGCCATCACTGATGTACCTGTAACTTTGGGACATCCAGGGACTCTCTGTGACCCCTGGGGCTGCCAGGCTGTGCCACAAAAGCACTGCTGTTAAATGTTTCACCAGATTAAAGAATGAACTGAGCAAATTTTATTTATTTGATTTGATTTTAGTATTTTTGTTCTGATTAAACCCTACTAAGTTAATTGGGTAGCTTATGATTGCTTCAAAGCTACCCAGATCAGACTTTGTATTCTCAGATTACTTAATTACAACACAATTTACCCTCACTCACCTTCTAATTTGAAACAAGTGTTGCTGATATCCTTGACTGCAGTAAGATCTCTTGAAGAATGACATGTTGATTATGTGGACACCAGGCCGTGATTTTTTGGAAATGCTCAGCCCAATCAATGTGTACTAAAATTGATTGGAATTAGATATGTTGTCTGTTTGTGAATTTAAATGAGAAATTTGAAAATATTTAAAAGCCTAAGTATGGAGAGTACCAGTATTTCAGATTTCCAGGTCTTTGATTTTCTCTATGGTTTTAAAAGACTTTTCCTTAAATTCTAAATGTTTGAGCTTGTATAGTGTATCCTGGTGAAATGACTAATTCAGCTTATAAATGAGAAAAAGCATCATTTCCTCAAGTATTGCCCCAGACCAATACTGGCTACTGCTATACCAGAAATAAAATCCATTTCCTGATGTAAAAAGCCAGATGTACTCCATCAAAACAATCATTGTGTTTAAGCTTCCAAATCAAAGCCAATTTCCAGGGACAAGAACATGTCATGCCATGGGATCCATGGGGCCAATCCCTTTGGATCCTTTATTATGGGACAAGTGATTTCCTCCTCTGGACTTCAGAGCTCAGCAGATTTGCAGGTACTGCTGGTGAAGTTTTAATTTAGGCAAAGATACTCTCAGAGAAGTGCTCAGATGTTCAGATGTGAATCCAGTTTTATATCCCTGGCAAGTTGAACAGTGTTGTCTCCTGCTTTTGATTCATTTGAACAGGTTTATGAAGAAGCAGCACATTAAGCTTTTATCTCTCTCATATATACACAAGTGTGTGCATGTCCCTAGTTAGTACTTTTTATATATATAAGCTTTTATACATTTTAATAGAAGCTATATAATATTTATATGATGTTAATATTAGTTAGTATTTGTTTATTTTTCTATATTAAATGCTACATTTGTCTTGCAGCAGATTTCAGAGTTTTTGCAGCTGCACTGTGTGTTCGGTTACCTCTGCACAGCTCATTTTGCAAAGTGTCCTACATTTACTGTGTGGGAGCTGAATCTTGAGGCAGATTAAATAATCTGTGGTAATTTGATTTCAGCTCTTTTTTAGTCTTACAGAAATGCTGTTCATTCTCATTGATGTGCACTTGGCTCTCTTTTAAGCGCAGCCTCCATGGTATTGTGGTGACAAGATTGAGTCTTTATTTAACTGGTGCTACTGTGGCTCTCAGAGCAAAACTGTTTTGTTTATGTGGGAATGACTTTTTTGTACTTATCCTTGAGAAGGAAAATCTGCATCTAAAGTAAGTTGAGAAAACATGATGCACATGAATCTTTTGAAGTAACTATTAACACAAGGGCACATATTTGTATTTTATCACTCATAAATATTCACTTATTGAAATCCAAGCATGCTTTGTTTAAAGTCAGAACACAGACTAGGAGAGTAATTCCACTTAAGCTTCTGTGCATGTGGATATTGTCCAAACACATTTTCTTCCTGCTGTGTCTTGCTCTGCATGCTGTTGTGGAATGGCACAGGACCTAGTACAGATTACTGATTTGATGTTCTTGGAGGTCCAAATGGGGGTTTTAAACATCAAACTTTATTGGCTAAACAGTCTCTTTTATGCTTAGATAAGACATAGCCAAGGAGAGTGAGGAGAGCTGCACATATGATGGCCTTAAAATTTAGGATGTGTTCATAAAAGGTGACTTTGTATTTCATGCAGCTGACATTCCCACAGGGCGCGCGTTCTGGCAACAGACATTCCAAAAAGATAAAGAAACTGCTGTGTAGATTTAAGGCAACATGGGGAGGATGCAGAATTTATTATAATTCATTTTTTAAAGTTTCTTGTCAGAGGAGAAGTTATACTTGCCTTGTGTAAGCCCCAGGACACCTGGCTCTGTTCCTCAGCAGCCTGTGCTTCCGTCAGAAATGCTGCACATGAGCAGCCCCTCTCCAAACCTGCTGCTGTTGGGAGAGGCTCTTTCCCTGCCTCTCCCTGCCCTGGCAGAGCAGTGCCAGCACAGAGCTGCCCCTGGGCTGCTGTACAACCCTGGGTCAGCCTGGAAAACCTTCTGAGATCCTCGAGTGTGACCCTTAGCCCAGCCCTGGCAGGTCACCCCAACCATGTCCCCAAGAGCTGCTGCAGCTCAGGGCTCCGTGCTGGGGAAACATCCTCCTGCTGCTCTGGGGTTTGGGGTTGGATGTCACTTTGTGTCTATTTTGGGTTTTTTTTTAATAAATATTGGCCTTCATTAACTTACAGTAATTACTCAGTTCAGCAGCTTTTCTAGACTTCTTTGTTTCATGTGACAAAGATCAGTCTTGCTGCAAATGATGTTTTGTGATGTTTTCTTTTTATTATTTGATTCATTAAGTACAATGAAGTACTTTGCTTCAGTTTCTAAAAACAAACACGAATCATTAGAATTATCATTTCTCTAGTATTTCTGATTAATGTTCACTAGAAAACAACTTGATACAATGTCTAAAGCATACAGTTCATTATAGTGTTTGTTTTCTTTATTCTTTTTTGCTGTTTTGCTGTTTTTATTAGACATAAATTATTGTAATGTGTGGAATTGCACATGAACTTATTTACCAGTCTACGTTTATGTTTAGAAAAGTGACAATGTTAGAATGACACCTGCTTATCAGATTTTCTTTTCATGTGCTGTTATTTTAATACATTTGTCTTAATGATTAGAAAAAAATATTTTTCATTGTCAATGCAAACATATCAGTATTCAAAGAATGAGAAAAGTTTATGTCCTTCTTTATCCCTAAAAATATCATCTGTCATTTTTCAATGAAAGAGTCTGAAAGAATTGCATAATTTCCAGATCTTGCTGTGTGTTTGTGGCATTACTAAATAGAAAAATACAGGCCAAATCCTGATCACATGGCATAACATGAAAGATACCATCACTGCCTTGCTGCTCTCCTTTCATATTTGGAGTTTAATCTTCTTGTGCTGGCACAAATCCTGTTCATTTGAAGCTGATTGGTAAAATACAGTGAATGAAAGAAGATTGATTTCTCTGATTAAGTTTTATAGGGGCCTACAGACCATATTCTCAAAGGCTATTTTTAATCCATTAAAGCTCATCTGCTCCAAGTCCCTGATAGAAACAGAGGGGGTAAATTTCCTCCTGGTAGATGTAGGGAATGGTCCAGCTAGGCTGCTGTCCTGGCTGCTCCACTGAGGACTCTTTCTCCAGGGAGAATCCATGAAGAAGTATTTTAAAATTTAAATAGAGTCCTTGTCAACATGCCGGCTGTGCAGGCTGGAAGCACTGTTTTGTGTTGCTGATCTCCAGTAATCACTGCTCTGATTTGCCCACCCTTTGATGCCCACAGGTCCAAGAGGCCCAGCCTCTTTTCCCAGGCAGTGACCCCTAGAAAATGCCGAGGAGAGCGGTGCCACCACACACATTTGTGATTTGTTTCTCTTTTTCTGTTTTAGGCCCTTCAAACCATCACAGCCAATCGACGCTGAGGCCGCCTCTCCCTCCTCCTCACAACCATTCCCTGTCCCATCACCATTCCTCTGCCAACTCCCTCAACAGGAACTCGCTCACCAACCGCCGCAACCAGATCCACGCGCCCGCGCCGGCGCCCAACGACCTGGCCACCACGCCCGAGTCCGTGCAGCTCCAGGACAGCTGGGTGCTCAACAGCAACGTGCCCCTCGAGACCAGGTGGGTGCTCGGGGCGTGCACTTTCTCTGAACATGGTCCCTTCACCCAGGGCTTTTCTTCTGGGATGCTGAAAGGCAGCGAGAAAAGGAAAACAATTCTTAGCTCATTTTCTTCTCCTGTGTTGTGCTCATGTGGAATGTGTTTGGGGATTGTTTACCCGCAGGTGATTGTTCCATTGGATTCTGCTGTGAGTTGTTCTGACTCATTGGCCAATCAGGGCCAAGCTGTGTCAGGACTCTAGAAAGAGTCACGAGTTTTCATTATTATCTTTTAAGCCCTCAGTAGTATCTTTTCTGTATTCTTTAGTATAGTATAGTAATATACTATTCTGCATAGTATAGTAGTATAGTATTATGTGTTCTTTAGTATAGTATAGTATTCTTTAATATAATATAGTGTAATAAAGTAATAAATTAACCTTCTGACACCATGGACTCAGATGCATCGCTCTTCCCTGCCACAGGGCTCACCATGCATTGACAGTAGGTGGTGGGCATGGACACCCTGGGAGATGACACTGGTGGTCCTCCAAAGCACACAGAGAGCACCCTTGGTTTGCTGGGAGTTGTTTTTGGTGTCCTCTGTGTCAGGGGTGGTTTTTCTGACGCAGCATGGGGAGTGAGTGGCATTAGAACAGCCAGCAGCCCCAATCTGCTTTGCACTGGAAGGTGCACAGTGAATACCACTGCTCACATCCCATTTTAAAGCCTTTTATTGACTTGGACCTTCCTTGCATACACAATTCATGCTATTAATACAGCATATTTATATCTCAGGCTCAGGGACAACTTAGAATTCATATTGGCTGTGCTGCTGAAAAATTATACATTTTGCGTTTCCTGAAGCAACAAACAGAGGCTCACTTGACATTATGCATTTTGGGAGACTTTGAGAAACAATCCGAGATTCATGACTGACAGTACTATAATTTTAATTTATACCTCATCCAGCATGCAAGTTCATTTTAATCTCTTCTGTACATGTTAACAGCTTGATGCCTGTGGGGCAAACAGCAGCATATAAATGAAAAGGTGCAGCACTTAGGCCTGACAGAGAAATAAATAAATAAATGCCTGACATGCTGCTGGTCTAAATATTCTGGTTTGTTGTCATTTGGGGTATGGAATGTCAAACATATTTAACTTGCACTTTAAATAGCAGAGCTGGCAGAGCTGATCTCTCGGAATTTAAAATTAGCCATTGTGGTGCTGAATAAAGTGCTTGGAAGAGCAGGGTGGTGTTGCTTGCCCAGAGAGTGGCAAACACAGGAGCAGGTGGAGGAGCTGGGCTGCTGGGAGCACTGGCTCCTGCCAGGGTTTCGGCTGCTTGGTTGCACAACAGCTTCTGGGTCGTTGTGTTTGGTTTGCAGCCTCCCAAGGGCTTTCATGGGGCTCTGCTGGGTCACACCCCAAGGAAGGAGACCCCAACATCTGGGGGAGTTGCAGACCAAGCCCAGCCCCTCCAACACTTGGTTAAAGACTGCTCCTCTGGTTTGGAGCTCTGGGAGGAGCTGGGGCTGGAGCTGACAACAGCGAGGCTGGTGTTACTCCGGGGTTAATCAGTGGTGGGTTACAGATCCATGGGGAGGAAATGAGCCGGAAGGGGCAGGGAGTCTCTCCTGGGCTGGGGTGTGCACAGGGCACACCTCACTTTGTCCTGCTCTGCTAAAATGGGAACACAGGTGCCCTGAAGAAGTGGAAAGCAAATTCAGGTTATCCAAAACTGAGATGGCCAGAAAAGGGAAGGAAAGGGATTCTTGCTTACTGAAGGTTTGGAGCTAACTTTGGCCAAATTAAAAACTAACTAAATAAAAAAAAAATCCCAAAAACCCCTTAACTCTGAACTGCTGCTTCTGTGAGAACCTCTGCTACTTTATAGAACTTAATTTGGACATCCTGAATTTGTTATTTATTGGTAAGAATTACAAAGGTAGAAGTGTTGGTCCTTTTCAGCCAGATTAGTTCTTGCAGTGTGGTTCATTGCCCAGTGTTAGTACCTACTTTTAATTCTGGTGTAGAGTGTGCTGTGCCTGGTCTGCCTCTTCCTGTATGGAATTGTTCTTGGGTACAACAGTATCTGAAATATATCATTTCTGAAGGCTCAAGACTGTCCCAATTTACCAATCACTTTACCTGGAGGGAATTCCTTGGTATATCCACAAAAGGATTCTCTGCCATCATCCTGGCATCCCTGAGCCACAGCAGTGGGCATTTGTCTGGCTGGGATTTTTTACTGTCTGATTTTGTACCTATTCCCAGCCAGAGGTGACTGTGAATGCCTTTACTGACTTTGGTTCTTCTCTTTTTTTCTTATCCTGCAGCCTCTGGGAGTGTGTGTGTACATGACAAAGGTTACTTTGTGAATACTGTTATTTTTGGAGCTTGCAGGATGCCCGACAGTTAATTGGGGCTTTTTGGAAGACAGGTTTGTCACAGGCAAGCATTAAGCTATTAGAAAATGTCCTGGCAGAATTGCTGTCTTCCAAAACTATTCCAGAGCTGCTTCAGGATCGATTTTAGTTCTTCTCTGAAATTACACACCTGACAGGGCCTGATGACAAGTTTCATCACAAGAATATTAACTCAAAAATGACTGAAACTGATGCTTGTGAAATCATTGAGACTTTCAGAATTAGCCTGTAATTCTTCCCCCATAAAACTGGTGTTTCATCTACATTGATACCAATAGCCACAAAAAAAAATAAGGTATATTTTTGGTAGCTTTTTACTTCAGCATTTACTTTAAAGCTTTATCTTGTTGCACAACATTGACCCCTCTCACGCTGCCCCTTCACAGTGCACAACTCTAATTTCTTTACCTTGTTATCTGTTTATTAATCTCAGCAGAGGAGCACTCAGGAGGCAAAGCCAGCACTGAGAGCACCTGCTTTATCAAGAGAGGGTTTCATAACTCTCAGTTTTCATCTTTCAGTTACCTTCAGTAGATTCTGCTCTCTACTGACAATGATGTGCAAGTGGTCACGTTAGTGATTATGAAACAAAAGGTGGCACCTGAGCTGTCTGAAGGGAATGCTTTGTGTCAGCACTACAAAACTCAGATCACAATTTAGATTCCAGATGTCTCTTTATCTAACACTACCAAGTGCTGAAACCATTGAATAATACAACACACGTCTGCATGTTGTTTTTTTTCTTTTTTTTTTTTTCTGGTAAGAATATTTTAACCTTCCCTTTGTTCCTTTGCTGTCTTAGGCAGTTTGGGCTAAATTCAGACTGTTTGGAGACATCCCATTTTCCAAATATATCCTTTCTCTATCTCTTCTTTCAGTATTGACTGGAGGTTGTTAATCACATTTGGTTTATTTTCTTTGTGATGTAAAGGAAGCTTTTACTGCTTGCACATGTTTTCGTGTGGCCTTTTCAGTCAACTGTGCCCAAATCGTTGTGGATCCTTTGTGGTGCTGTATTTGTTACATAATTACATTTATCTGTATTGCAGCAGCTCATTGCTTCTAGTGGAGTTCTGAGTTTGCAACATGCCTGTGCAGAGTTCCTAATTGTGCTTATTTAGAGTTGTAGAATGGTTTGGGTTGGAAAGAGCTTAAGGATCACGATGGGTAAGGACACCTTCCACTTGTTCAAGCTCCTCAAAGCCCTGGCTAACCTGGCCTGGAACACTTCCAGTGATGTGTGCTTGATTTTGGGGTGGTTGTTCCTGCTTCAGGTAAACAAAGAGGGGCTGTGCCTTCCCTTCCCTGCTTTATGGCTGCACCAGGCTCCCAGGCTGGCTGCATAATCACTCTGTTTTCTTTGAAATAAGGGCCTGTAATGGAAGGGTTGAAATATCTCTAAGTAAGGACACAGTAATGCATGGCTGTAGCATTTTTATGGTGCTATTTTTATGGTTCATTTCTGCAGTATTTAGCTGCTTTACCTTTAGGCTCAGAGCTGCTGTTTAATGCTCTTTAACTTTTATTGTCCTCTTGCAGTGTGTTTCAAAGCATCTCCTCCTCCTAACAAAGTGCTGGTTTCTACCTTCTCCAGTTGAGAGGTGTTCCTTTATTGCTACTTTAATCATTGCTTTCCAGGGGGATGTGTGGTGAAAATACAGCCTTTGAGCATCCCAGGGTGGGTGCCCTTCCCTCCTGACAGCCAGAGGGGCAGAGCTCTGCTGTAAAGCTGGGAATGCTTTGAGGGCACAGGGAGGAAGGGATGGCTTTGCAGGGGAGGCTCCTGTGGCTCCTCACACAGCAGGAATCCCCTGGGATGAGAGCCCCACATGGGCACTGGGATGACTTGTGAGGGAGGAGAGCAGAGGAGCTTCCATGGATGGATGTTTCACTGAGATGGCCTGGTTTATTAATGCCGCTTTCAGTACTTTATATTGATGTGAAAATAATTGTTACCATTATAACTAATAATACTTAATTCAGAAGAAAAAAAGGGTAGAAGTAAATAGAAATTACTCTTATTCTTCAGTTCTCATAATTAGCCTCGTAATTTGAAATATTTTCGGTCCAAATCTTTCAGCTGCAAAGATAATTTTATATCTATGTCTGTAATTTCTTTGTGCTTGCTCACAAGGATGTGATGCTAGGCTTTAAGGAATACTGTATTCAGGAGAAAGGATGATGGCCACCCTTGTGGTGATTATGAAATAGGTTTCTTTAGATCTTGTGGATTGTAGTATAAGACCAATGGTCCACATCTGAGGGCATTTGTGCCAAGTTCAGTTTAAAGATTGAGGAATCCAAAAATTTAACATGAAAAGAATTGCTATGAACCTTGAAAGAACTCTTCAAAATATTTGCCTTTTCCTGGGGTTCAAGCTGTGTTTGTTACTTTGCCAGTCTGATTCCAGCACAGTCACTCAGGTGAGCCTGAGGACAGCAGTGGGAGCACAGGGGATGGAGCAGCAACATGAGCTGATCCCAGTGTGCACCATGCAGAGCTTGAACTCAAAACTGTGGGGTAGCACAGCTGGGAAACATCTGCACCCAGTGCTCCAGCTCATTGCAGTGCAGAATGGACACGGTGCAC